TTATTATTATTATTATTATTATTATTATTATTATTATTATTATTATTATTATTATTATTATTATTATTATTATTATTATTATTATTATTATGTACTTGAATTCTTCAATCAAGATTGGATTCTGGCAAATTATAATGTCAGCACCATCGTTCTTATTCCAAAAACCAAAGAGGTTAATTCTTTGGATAAATATAGACCAATGGATATTTTACAAAGATTTTGGCTGACTGACTTGCATTCTTCATGCCTTTTCTCATCTCTAAAGAGTAAAAAGGTTTTATACAGAGTAAAAGCATCAAAGATGGCATTTGCCTGGCCTCTGAGACATTCAACCTTCTGGAAAAGAAAAGCTTTGAAGGAAACCTGGCCATCAAAGTGGATATTGTCAAAGCCTTTGACACCTTGGATTGGAACTTTTTGTTTAAGCTTTTAAAGTGTTTTGGCTTCTGCTCCAAATTCATTACTTGGATTTCTACCATCCTTTCTTCTGCTCACATGTTTATCATGATTAATGGTTCTTTAAATGGGTTATACAAAGGGACCCCCTATTTCCCCTATTATTCTGTTTTACTGAAGATGTCCTCACCTAAGGAACTTTAAATTTAGTTCAAGAGGGAAACCTTAATCCTATGATGGGATCCACAAATTTGAATTTTCCTTCTCACATTCTTTATGTAGATGATATTCTCATCTTATGTAAAGGTACTAAAACCAATATTAGGGCCCCTCTTCATTATTTACACATTATGCAAGGGCCTCTGGTCAAGTCTTCAGCCTAATAAATCTGCTATCCTCGTGTTGGGCTTTAGGTGACAGATCTAAAGGAAACTTCTGGAAGGATGCTTGGTGCGGGGGATCACTTTTGAATGAGGTTGCTGGGGCTTTCTCTTCTACTCCTAGTTTTACGGGTTATGGGGGAAGTTTTAGGTCAAATGTCGGCCTCTTCATTTTGGCTTCTGCTGAACCTGTCCCCTAGAGATACTCTTTGCTTCTTGAATTTTATGGTGTCATTTGTAGCATCGAAATCGCTAGAGATAAGGGTTGGAAGTACCTTTAGATGAAATCCGATTTTATGATTGTGGTCAAAACTTTCTCTTTTGCTAACTTTGATTGGCTTCATTGGCAACTCAGTAATAGGTGGTGTTCTTGCATCAATACTTTAATGGATATGGCTTTCTTATTTCTCATACTTTCAGGTAAGGAAATAGCTTGACTGAATTTTTTGTTAATCTAAGCCGCGCACAGCTACGACCTTCACTTATTCTAACTATATACCCGTTGATATTAGAAATGACTATGTAAAAAATAGGCTAGATTTTCTTTTTATAGATTTTGATATTTTTGAGTTGGTTTTGGTCTAGTCTCCCAACTTTTTGTGTATTAATTTTATTTTTTAATATATTACCCTTTATTCAAAAATTATTATTATTATTATTATTATTATTATTATTATTATTATTATTATTATTATTATTAAAAAACATAATATAGCAACCTCAAAAGTAAAAATTATATTTTTATTGGTGGAGTAATTTAATTTAATCACACTTTTCTAATCATGTTTTTATGTGTCATTGAAAATATTATAAATATATAAGGGTGTTAGTGTTTTTTCTTTGAAAGTAAAATTGATTCGGTGACTGCACATTGGCTTTAATAGTCTCGCATCGATAAATTCATGATAAAAGGATACATTAGTCTTTATTATAAAAGAAATAGTTACTAGTGAAAAAATTTAGGGTAATTTTTTTTTTCATTTTTGGTGATACCTTCTATACTCTTAAAAATTCAAAAAATGACTTTCATGCATTCGAAATGTATCTTTGGACGCACCCAAAGTCACACCAAAATACTTTTTTTAGATTCATCTCATTTTGCAAAAAAATATGATCCAAAGATACATCTCCGTATTATATTATGGTATATTCTGAGATGTATCTTTGAAGTTTGATTTTTAACACTATTTTTCAGTTATTAGTGGTATTAGATATGGTGCATCCGAATATGTATCTCAAAGTTATTGTGAGTGTGGATGTTAAATCGGTCGATGTGAAGCATGATATTAAACAGATGAAGTGAATGGTGATGTTAAACCGGATGAAGCGAATGATGATATTAAACTGAGTGCTCGACTGGTTGTTGTCGAGGTAGATGTCTGTGCATAATTTGCAAATAAATAAGTGTTTATTGTTCGTGAACATATGCTACAATGAGTTCGTAGGAAGGTTGAAAAAATTTGAGTTTGCCGGTGTCATCGGAAGGTCCGAGATTGATTTGGATAAAAGATAAACATTTGTAACAATGATATGCAAAAGAAGTGGAACCTACCAACCAAGGATTAGGAAGTTGAAACGAGATGACACTGGATCGAGGAAACGTGAGTGTCTGTTTAAATTGAGCGGATACCATATGGCAGATGAGACATGGAAATTTAATGTGATTTATGGTATGCATAATCATACCTTGACTAACAAGCTAGTCTGTCATCCAATTGTATGTCACCTTGTTTCGGAGGAGAAGGGACTTATTTTGACACGACATTAAATATGGCGGCGCCGAAAAACATACTCACATCTTTGAAACGGAAAAGACCTCTAAATGTTTCAAATATCAAGCAAATATACAACATACGTGCTTGAGACAAAAAAGCGGTAAGAGGACCAAGATCTGAGATGCAACAACTCTTGAAGCTCTTGGAATATGACAAATATAACACCCCAGAATTTGATTAAGTTATTTAATCAGATTATTTTGTATTTTATTTGATTAATTGGTAAATTGATGCACTTTTTATTAAATATGTCTGCTGATTTTTATATGCATGTGGGGCATTGGTGTGGTGTAGTGAGACTGTTGGTGGGGTGGTGGAAGAGTTAGAAAGACTAAAATAATTAAATAATTATAATTGTAATTATTTTGATGTATTACTTAAAATAAAATAGAAAAAGGAGATTTTGGGTGGAATAATAGAAAACTAGAAAATATGGAGATAGTGGTGAAAATTGTAACATAAGTTGGGTCATGGTTCAAATTTTAAGAGATTAAATAATTAGGGTAGAATATAGAGTAGTTGGTAGAGTTTTGAGAGAAAGAGGAGTACGTAAAAATATTTTTTTTAGTGGAAAGAGGCAAGGCTATGACTTAGAAAGAACCTCCATTAATAGAGCTTGAAGGTGTTTTTACTGGAAAATTTAAGGTAGAGGGATTACTTCAAATATGGTGTTGAGTGCATGATTAGGTAGAAGAAAGTCCTTAACCCCGTTAGGTTTTCCCCTAATTTTTTCCTTTTGATTAATGATTGATGAATGTGAATCAAATTTTGTGATAGCATGAACTATATGATATATCATGTGAAATTCGTGTAATGTTGTGTGTTCTTGTTAATGGTGTTGGTATGAATCGGTGTTCGTATGTGTGTGGTGATTTTGATGAATAAAGTATGTTAAATCCATAATTAATTGATGAAAAAACATGTTAACTGATTGATAAATGATGTTTTGATGGCTGGGAAGGAAAAATCAGAGTTTTGAATTGAACTCCAATGGCAAAAACGCATATACTCTAAATGAACATTATGTCTATGTATCTATAAATTCTTGAGGGATGTATGTCCCACAAAGACGTTTTTCTTCTGACTATCTTATATGCGAGATTACATGATGAAGATCTTTGCCACCCCTTGAGGCAATATTTTATATGTTGTACTTCATGATGAAGATCCTAGCCGTCCATTGAGGAAACATTGTATATACTGAACTTCATGATGAAGAACCATGCCGCCTCTTGAGGCAACATTTTATGCTAGACTTCATGACGAAAATCTTTTTCGCCCCTCAATGCAATACTTTATATGCTGGATTTCATGGTAGGGATCATTTCCACCCTTTGAGGCAATATTTGTTAAGCTAGACTTCATGACGAAGAACTTTGCCGCCCAATAGGACAATATGAATAAGTTACCCGACACCTTGCCTGAAGAACTTAGCGTCTTCTCTTGCAGGACAAGTAATCCAGAAACAAGTCTAAGAGCCGCGACAAATCCACAACCTAAGAGACTTGTACAAGCATGCACTAGTTGAAGATAACTTATGTATTACATTATGTAATAGCTATGTATATCATGTATAAATATTATCTTCATACATAACATACATATGTTAGTAATCTATAAATAGGTTATTCTCTCACTTGATAGTTGTTACTTTTTATTTGTAATCATGTAATGTTGAGTGAAAAAATGAATACAATAACTGTCATAACCAACTCTATTTTTCCGCTCTTCTCTTTCTTCTTGAATTGAACAATTTCTAGTTTGATCAATAAACTCTCTCACTCTCACAATTTTACTTTGTTCTTGACATCAATTATCACAACAAATTAGATGGTCCAACACGGATAATCATGTTCAAATACTTCTCCCAGCAGGCTATAGTACAAACGAGTGACTGAGGTTACTGCACTCCACACAACATGACAGAAGATACATTTCACAATTGAATGGTGCATACAGAAATAGACACATGCATGAGTTGAAAGTACAATACCATAGTATAATACAACATGGAACACAGGAACCAACAAATACAATGAAGGACGTCAGACAAAAATGAGTACTAAGTTTGGTTTTTACAAAAAGAGAGAAAACAAGAGGAGGTGGATACAGAATGGGTGGAGGAGAATAGCGAGCAGCCAGCTAGCTATGCAAAGTTTTAAAAGAGACAAAGTGATAACTGATAACTAAAATGAGCGGCAAATATCAAACTAGAATACCCCAACAAGGACCCGCAGCAAAGAAAAATAATAACCCATGAAATAGACACATTCATTCATCAGTTCAACTTCCGTCGTCAACCTAACATCTTGTTCAGTGTTGTTTGAGTTCTGAGGCCTGCCCTTGTTCGGTTCTGCTGAACCGCTATATCCATCTCGATATATATCGGTGACATAAACATAAACTGAAACTCCATTGAATTAATTTCCAACGGTTTAGTTGTGATGAGATGAGAGTGATAGTGCCTTTGCAAGACGTTGTCCAAGGAACAGGTGGTCTTTTTTGGGGTTCAGTTATTCCTTGTGCTCTTTTCTACTTTCTTCAGCTTTTTCTAAAAACACGTCATCATAACCGTAACCGTCAACCTCCTCCTTCTAACAACCTTCCACTTCCGGAGGCTTCCGCCTTGTCACGCTCTCTTTCACAGCGGGTCAGAGGTTCAACCGCCTCCGTTTATATTTCGGCTAGGGCCAATATCGCAGTCGCAGACTCTCCTTATTACGTAGGTTTGAATAAAGTCGCAGATAACCCGTACCATCCGATTCATAATCCCGATGGTGTCATTCAGCTTGGTCTGGCTCAAAATACCGTGAGTTTCTTCTTCCTTTTCTCTTCTATTATTTCGTTTTCAAAGTTGTAATTGTGTTTTTTTGTGTATGTTCTCAACTTAACTCCCTCTTTGTTGTAGCTATCCGTGGACTTGATTCAAGAGTGGTTTCGTCACCATGGAAACGCCTCTATACTGGGCACGTCGGCAAATTGTGGTTGCCTCAATTTCACTGACCATGGATTCATGGAGTTCAAAGTGGTATGTAATTACTTTCAATTATTTGCTTTTCGCTCTGACTCAACTTGTTATCCAAGACTGAATCACTTTTGTAACACCAACACCTCTCGAAATTTATTTTTCAAATTATTACCGATATTGAAGTGTCAGTGTCGGTGTTGCATTTCCGATATTCGTGTTTCATAGAATGTGAGTGTCACACACAGATAACATGTATGATTTCATTCGGTTATGTTCAAGTTTCATATGATTTTTGATATATTTAAAGCCTCCTTTCTACATTAATTCTCTAATCATGCAGGTTGTGGCTGGTTTCATGTCTCAAGTTTTGGAAAAGCCAATTTTCTTCAACCCCTCACATATGGTAATAACTGCAGGTGCCAACCCTGCCAATGAAATTCTAAGCTTCTGCCTAGCAGATCATGGAAATGCATTCCTTGTTCCGACACCTCATAGTCCTGGGTAACAATCAATTTCCTATCTCTAAACTCCTTCTTTAGTCACCCGATTTCCTGCATGTAAAAAATGATAGATTTAAACCTATGGTGCAGCTTTGACGAGGATGTAAAATGGCGAACTGGTGTGGATATAGTATACGTTCCCTGTCGCAGCACGGATGACTTCAACCTAAGCATTACCTCACTTGACCAAGCCTTCAACCAAGCAAAGAAACGTAGTCAAAAAGTTTGTGGAGTTATAATATCAAACCCTTCAAACCCTACCGGAAAATTCTTAAATCGGGAAACACTACTTGATCTTCTGGACTTTGCTAGAGAGAAGAACATTCACATAATCTCTAATGAAATATTTGCAGGCTCTACTTATGGAAACAAGGAGTTTGTGAGCATGGCAGAAATCATGGATGCAGAAGATCATGATCAAGACAGAGTTCATATAGTGTTCGATTTAGCAAATGAGCTCAATCTTCCAAGTTTTAATGTGGGAGTTATCTACTCCTGTAATGAGAATGTTGTGGCTGCTTCCAAAAAATTGGCAAAATTCTCATCTGTTTCTGCTCCAGCACAGCGGTTGATTATCTCCATGATTTCAGATACAATGTTTTTTCAGGATTTCATAAAGAGTAACAAATTAAGGCTGCAGAAAATGTACAAAGCATTTGTGGCAGGATTAGAGCAATTGGGAATTGAGTGCACCAGAAGCAATGGTGGTTTTTGCTGCTGGGCTGACATGAGTAGATTCATCCGCTCTTACAGTGAAAAGGGTGAACTCGAGCTCTGGGATAGATTGCTGAATGTAGCTAAGATCAATGTTACTCCGGGAACCTCATGTCACAGTATCGAACCTGGATGGTTCCGTTTTTGTTTTACTACTTTGACTGAAAAGGATATTCCTATAGTAATGGAACGGATTGAGCAAATTCTCAAAACCGCAGGTTGATGTCGCGTCAATTATTTCTGCAAATTTAGTTGGTTTACTGATTCTTTATTCTTTGTGGTGAAGCCAACATCACTCCTCAAAGGAATACTAAGCTGTTTGTGTTACATCCAGAGTCTATATACAAATTGATACAAGTTTATTTGCAAAAAAAAACGAGTTCTTTGTAATTATAATTGAATAAAGACAATATCGGGAAAGAAAAAAGCAGAGGATTCTAATAATAGGCAATTATTTTTTGGGAAACACATGAAATAATGTAAAGAACAAGTGCCTTTTATTGCAATTGTTACAAATTTTATATCAAAAAAATGGTAATACAAAAATGAATACTAAAGAATTTTCATCCTCGACCCGAATCACCTTCTACGAATACTCCATCTGATACTAACCTTCCTGAAACAATTTAGTCACTAAGTGATTACTCTAATTGAGTTACATGGAAAAGCTCTTACTGGTTAATGAGATTCCAATCCATTTCTGATGGACTCAAGGACCTGAACAACTTCAGCCATGCTTGGTCTTCTTAAAGGATCCTCTGAAGTACAAATAAGCCCCAATCTCATAACCTGAATCAATTCATTCTCAGCAAATCCCAGTAAATTCCTGTCGAAGCAATTTGAAACCGAGCCAGTCTCCAACAAACCTCTCACATATTCACACAAAACCACAACCTCATTTGTGGTTGGACTTTCTACAGGCTTCCTTCCTGAAACGAGCTCCAAAAGAATGACGCCGAAACTGTAAACGTCACACTTCTCACTCTGCCTAAAGCTTTGAGCTAACTCTGGTGCAACATACCCGACAGCATTGTGGAACTTGGTCAGAACGTAGTTATCCAAAATCGGTAGCAACTTACCTAATCCATAATCAGATAACTTGGCTTCATACTTGTCATCTAAGAGTATGTTAGAGGATTTCAGGTTGAGGTGAAGGATTGGAGGACGACAGTCGTGGTGGAGATAGGCAAGAGCTCTTGCAGTTCCAAGTGCAATTTGGAACCTTCTCGGCCAATCTAACTCCCTATTGCCTCTACTTGTGCTGGTTCCAGGATAGCCAAGACCGTGTAGATTATCATATAGATTCCCATTTGAAACAAACTCTGACAAAATTAACTGCATTGAAGAGGACCAGTAGTAACCTTGAAAAGCAACTAAATTATGGTGCTGAAGGTTTCCTAGTCGCCCAATTTCATGTTCGAACTCCTCTTGATTTCCGATCCTTCCTAAAGTCTCAAGCTTCTTCACTGCAATTGAGATACCACCTTCGAAATTGGTTTTGTAGACCGTACCAATCGATCCGCCGCCTATCAAAGACTCTTTGTCAAGCAATGCTTTGGTGCCTGCCTCCCAATCTTCGTATTTTGATGGTAAACTTTTGCTGAAGAGAACCAGCTTTCCAATAATAACACTTGATTCCGATGATGTTAGAGGTGTACTCTCAACAATCATAACCTCATCATCGTCATTTTTTCTACGACGGGCCCTAATATTCATGATGGTCACCAAACAAACCCCGGTAAGAATTAAAGCTGCAGCTACAATAGCAATAATTGCAGAGACACTGAGAAGTTTAGTTTTCCCGGAAGCTGAAGACGATGATCTAGTTCCGTTAGCTGAGCAACCGGTGTCTAACGGAGCGCCGCATAGAAAAGGATTATTGGAAAAAGCAGGTGCACCAAAATTCTGTATGGATGCAATATTAGGAATGACACCGGAGAGATTGTTGAATGAGAGATTGAAATGTGTCAAGTTGTTTAAATCTCCAAGGGAAGTAGGGATTGAACCAGAAAGTGAATTATGCGATAGATCTAGATATTCAATCCTTGATATGTTTCCTAGGCTCGATGGGATGCTTCCCTTCAGCTTGTTATAATGTAGGTCAAGTGCTTCCAGATTCGTCATTTTGTAAATAGCCTGCGGAATCTCGCCGTCTAAGTTATTACCAGAAACATCCCTGCAGCAACATGGAAGAACGAACTAAGATTTGATTCAAATTTCATAGGTTCAATCAAGTAAATCTACAACAGTTTGAGAAAGTTACAGCATAACTCACAGCTCAAGAAGAAACTTGCAATTTGTTATATCGACCGGAATTTCGCCAACGAGGTTTAGGTTGCTCAAATCCAGCAATTCAAGCAGTTCAATATTGCCGAACCCCTTGGGAATCGTTCCATCTATCGAGTTATTGCCCAATTTGATAACCAATAATCCTCGCAATTCCGGAATTTCAACCGGGATACTCCCTTTCAGCTTATTCAACTCCAATGACAAGAGTTTTAACTTCTTGCATCTAGTTATGCTGGATGGAATCACCCCATCCAAATTATTCCCAGAAGCATCAAATATCTCTAATCTCTCACTACATGAAGCAATATCAGGAATTTGTCCTTCAAACCGATTATATGATATATTGAAGTATGTAAGATTTTGCATTCCAAGGATGCTGAATGGGGCCAAATCAGTAAAACCATTACTACCAAAATCCAAATGCATTAAACTATGGCATGAAGAAATGCGATCTTTCACACTACCCGATAACGCATTGCTTCTCAGAGATACATATGATAACACGGGAATATCACAGAGTCTAGAAGGGACAACACCACTAAGATTATTGAAAGAAAAATCAAAACCTTCAAGGTTGAAGCAATTCACCAAGGATAAAGGAATTGAACCAACAAGGTTGTTATGAGAAAGAGAAACAAATTTGGTTTTATAGCAGTACCTAAACAAAGCAGAAGGTATCTCCCCATTGAAGTCATTCTTCGATAAGTCCAAAAATCGAATGTTAGGCAAATCACCTATGAAATCCGGGATCGAACCTGATAACGCATTGGAGCTAAAATTGATCTTCCACAATGAATGAAGATCAGCATATCCATTAGGGATATTACCCGAAAATCGATTCCCAAACAATGTCAATGTCCTCAACCTCTTCAATCCTGAGAGTGCTGGAGACAACACCCCTCCCAAGCTAGTGTTCCAAAGCACTATTCTTTCAACAAAACCTTCCAAGTTACAGAAAATACCTTTATAACCTTGACAAGGGTCTCCACTAGAAACCCATGAACTCAAGGTATTGTATGGATCTTCTGTGATGTTCCCCTTGAACTGAAGTAAAATCTCCTTCTCAGTTTCTGTTGAAACCGTGAGAATAGACCAAAACAAACACAGAATGAAGCATAATAGAACATTACAAAGATGAATATGACACTGTATTCTCATGCTCAATCCCAAGACAATGTGAGTTTGATCACCCTTGATACATTACTGTGTTGTTTCCATAGTTACAACGTTTGAGGATTTACAAAATGTCGGTCCAATGAGAAACAAAACATCACTATTGTCACCAACATGAAGCATTCTCATTAAATGCAAGGAGAGAGAAAACAATAAATAAAAATGACAGCTTTAACAAAGTGAAGTTCTTGAAACCCAAATACTCACCTCAAGCATCTAAACAAAGATTTCAGAATGTTCAAAAGAAATGATTTTTCCATTTGGGTTTTGTGGGGTTGAAATGGGTAGCATAAAAATGGAAGCTTTAAGTTGTTCTAGAGAGAGAAAGTTAGAGAGAGAGAGAGAGAGGGAGTAAATGATGGCTGTACATTTGCTGGAAAGAAGCAGGTGAGATAGTCAGAGGCAATTTAATAAAAATTTTGATAACAGGTAATGTGATGAAACATATAAATTAAATTCAGAGATTGCTAACAATTGAAGGTTGAAGCACGTGCATAAGAGAAAATAGTAAACACTTTTTGAAGCAATGATACCTTTTTTAACTATGTAAAAAAAAAAAAAAACAATCTATGTAATGTGACTGTGAAGTTGAAAAGGGTACCTTGAAAGTGTGGGTCCAGTTTGTGTAGGGTAGCATTTATTCTTCTCCACCAACCATGTCACCACCACCACCATCGCTATCTTCACAATAAGTATGCCAGAGAAGATAGGTAATGAGTTGGGAATATTGGGAAGACCAAGAAAAACTACTACTAGAAGAAAGTGGAAGGAAAGAGTCAAGAGTGTGTTTGTTTGTTTGTCTGTGTGGACATAGGGGGTGCTTTTGTTCAAATCTATCCGTTTTGTTAGTGACACTTTTTGTTGGAATTCCTCTTAATTAATTGTGATTAGTAAGTTAATGCTAATATGAAGTGTCAAGTGAGAAAATTAGTTTCTGCTAATTATTTTAATTTTTTTTAGGAGTTATTGTCAATTCTTTGAGATTATGAAAGTTTTTTCTTTTTAAATATTGAATAGCTAGTAATAAATGTAGTAGTATATTTATTTGACAAATCTGATCACATCATTTTACCCTTTAGTTACTTCTAATGAAACATAAATTCAATTAAAAAATGTTCAATGTTTTTTGAACTAATTAAAGGTTTTTCTTTAGGAAGATATTTGTAATGTGATCTATTTGACAATTTTTTTTATAAGTTATAACAGTATATATATAATTAAAAGTGTTTAGTTATAAAATGAAAATTAATGGTGGTTAGAAATGAGCAATGGTAGACTTAAAATTCTATTGCGGTGATGTAGTGGTTAAACAGTAAAGTTAGCACTTAAAACTCAAGTCAGTATATAAAAGAGATGAATGAGTGAAGTTTGAATTTGAAATTGTGTATATGAATTTGGCATGTGTGCCCTTTATGTAATGGAATGATTATAATAATCTTTTATTCTCAAGGCATGTGGTGTGAGGAGTCGTTCGATGTATTATGTCCCTAGATGTCCTGTATCATTCCTTAGGATAGTCTTCATATGTTGTGATCAATTTGGGCGGATCCTTACTTTCTTTGGATTGTCGGTCTGAAACAGTTGTCCTACCGACCCTTGTCTTTGTATGACAATGCAAGGGTTTGTCGTATACGCCTCGCTCACGTCGGTCATTCCTTTAGATTAGATGAAAAATCAAGAGAAGACGTTACTTTTTTTTGGGGATTCGCGCCTTTAATATGTCTCATGCTTCAAATATCTTTTTGTAGGTTCCCTTATATTGATCTTTGAAAATTGAAACACGTGAGTGTTTCGTAGAGGTGATCTGAAGCGTTGATAAGGTTTATTTCTTTTAGTAAGTTATCATATGTGTTCGCGAGTGTTTTTAACGAACAATCACGAGTTAAATAGTCTATGAGATTAATTTGAAAAATCTCAGAATGAATTTTATGCAAACACGTGGACAAGAAAGTGTGTATGTGAAGTGACTGTGAATGTTTGTATGCAGACAAAATAAAGAAAATTTTAACAACGAAAAAAATGAATTAAAGTAAATGACAACTGCAATGAATGGTATTAAATAAATGCAGTAAATGATAGAAATAGTAAAGTGTTTCAATTAAGGGAACCTAAAGACAATAAAGAAAAATGGACGAAGACTCACATGTTACTCATAAACTATTTTGCAATTTGACTTGGGTACTCTAGTTTTATAGAGAAAGTATATGAACTTTGCGACATTGATTACAATGTATAGATCTACTATATATTACTAAACTAAAGGTAACCGTCTTCGAGAGCTTATTCTTAGAAAATAGACATGTCTTCAAGAACATGCAACTTAATCTTTTGAAAATAAGAGAAAAGAAAATGTTGAAAGTATACAAATATTATGAGCAAATCTTTTATGCCATAGCCATGAGTCATTATTGTTCGCCATGAGACATTTTACCTTCAAAGACATATCATCAAGAGAAATTATAAATATATTATTAATTCTTTTACCTTTGAGTTTTACCTCATGTGTGACGTCATCTTCTATCAAGCATTCGTCCTTGGTGAACTCGATCTTGAAGTCTTTGTCACAAAGTTGGCTAATACTTAGAAGATTGTGTTTTAGTCCTTCAACATAAAGAACATCTTCAATGAATGTGAAAGGTGGTGCTTCAACTTTGTCTATGCCAAGAATTTTTCCTTTGTTGTTATCTCCATAAGTAACATAACCCTTGGCCTTAAGCACTAGATTTGAAATTTTGTCAATGTCTCTCATCATATGCTTCGAACAACCATTATCAAGATACCATAAATTAGAAGTGGTTTTCAAGCATACCTACAAAACAAATTAAGTTTTATTAGGTACCCAAATTGCCTTGGGTCCTTCATAATTAGTATCTTTCTTTACCCACAGATAATGTCCACTGGCAACACTAAAGTTCTAACTTAGCAAGCATTAGGTGTATGGCCAACTATACCACAATAAAAATACGTAGGAACAAAATTACTTTTATACCTAGGAACATATAATTTCTTTTTAACAAATCTTCTCCTTTTAGGATAAGGATGAACAATTTTGGCTTTGCTAACTTTTTTTTTGGAGTTTGATCACTAGCTTTAACAAAGATAGATTTACTTGAACTTGGTTTACTAAATTTTGAATAACCAAGACCGCTTTTATCGTTGGAATATATTTGTTAACTAAGAACACCATCCAAACCAATTTATCCTTTTTCATATTTTTCTAAAACTCTTTTTAATTGGATAATTTGAAATGAAAGAGATTCTCATTCTTTGCATACAAAATTCTGTTTTTGTTCACTAATTATCTTTAGTTTTTCATCTTTGTAATCTTTTTTCATAGTCTCAATTTTATTTTCTAGAGATGTAATTTCTTTCTTTTTAGATGATATTATTTTGTACAAAATTTTGCATTCGTTAAGAAGTTTATCAATAGCCTCTTGAGTATCGTTATCATAAATGGAAAATTCAGTACTAACATCTTCTTCATCATCAGAATGGTGTGAAGCCATCAATGCTAGATTTGTATATTCGTCGCTATCTAAATCTGATGAAGAATTTATCTCATTATCATCCCCTGTTATATAGGCTTTCTTGTTCTTATTTTCCTTTTTATTCTTGAAGCCACCTTTCTTGAGAAGTTTCAGAAAATCCATCTTAATATGGAACTTTTTACCACATTCATAACAAGTGACATCGGGTATTGAAATAGATGCCTTCTTTTTGCTAAAATATTTCTTCTTTTTTGCATAATTGAAAGATTTATCATTTTTATTAAAGAATTTACGAATTCTCTTCACAAGAAGCATGAAGTTCTCATCCTCTTCAGGAGCATCATCTGGTTCTTCTTTTAATTCGACTTTTAAAGCGATACCCTTGGATTTCTTTTCTTGATATTCATGTTTTTCTAGTCTTCCAAGTTCTAATTCATGTTCTTGGAGTATCCCGAACAACGATGCAGAAGTCATAGTTGAAATGTTTTTCTTTTCAGATATTTTCGTCACTAGAAAAAGTCTTACCAAGAGCGATCAAATGATTTGTTAAATGCACGAACCTTTTCTGCAAAGCGATAATGGATTCTCCGGAATGCATTCAGAATATTTTGTATTATTGACTTAATATATTCAATCTTGATCGTTTAACTTCAGCGGTTCCTTCATGAGTATCCATCAAAGTGTCTCAAATTTCTTTTGCGGATTTATATTGAGAAATGCGGAAGAATTCATCCATACTTAACGCACTTTGTAGTATGTTAATGACTTTCTTTTTATTAAGGACTTTCTTTTTATCATCTTCATCATAAGAGATTTTAGCCTTTGGAGTCCCGGCACCATTGATAACACTAACATGATTATGTGGACCATTTTCGACGGTTTCCCAAATTTCATCTCCTCGTGCTTCTAAATGTTTCTTCATGCATATTTTCAAGAAATCAAAATACTCGCCAGAAAATAATGGGAGTTTGTTGCTACTACCACCATCCTTTGAAAACCAGATTTGCGCTTGTGAAAGCCACCGAGAAATATCCTGGTTTCCCTCACAGTCTGAGAGTACTTAGGTCCCCTTTCAACATGAAGGAGATTTTTACTAGTGTTAGATCTTATGGAAAAAACAAGCTTTATCTTGCTATACAGACTCTAACAACAATAATTACCAAGAACAATCCTCTTGGATTTTTCACAAAAGTTCACTAAGAGAACAATCCTCTCCTTAATGAACCTCTTGCTTCCAACAATCCTGGACAACAAAGAATACAATAAAAATTATGAATTTACAAGATTTTAAAGTGAAAATTACGAAGTATCAAACTCTTGATTGATTTTCCCCTTTAAGCAAATAATTCTCAATATGTAGTACAAGTGCTCAAGTTTGATATGGATGAAACTATGTGAATGTATATTGAAAATTTTGTGCGAGAGTTTCACCAAAAAAAAATTTTGTTTCAAGAACACTTGAGAAAATATTGAAAGATAAAGAGAAAATTTGTTTGA